AAAAGTTTAAGTAGCGATTGATTTTTATTTCTGGTTATAACTTTTTAAGTTCAGAAAAGCAATAGATTTTTGAGCTTCATCTTTCGAAAATAGTTTTATTAATTTTTCTCAACTGCAACCCAAACTGTATGGGTTACACCTGAAAACATTTTATTGTTATAAATTTCCACTCACCACTAGTACTCTGATTGTCAAGAGTATTGAATCTGGAATCAGGAGCGTCTGGAGAATCGGGACTCGGTGGATGATCTGAGCCAATTCCAGAGCTACCTCCGCTACTTTCTATCCGCCTGCCCTTCACATTTTGTCCAACGATATTGGCATTCAGGCATCTCCTCAATTCGATCCCCGTCAGATTTCCCTTCGTCCTGTGGACCGTGTCGTAGTCTCGAGGTGGAAGGAGAATGGGTGAGTTTTTCTTACCGAGTTTTTCTCGAAGTTCCGCTGCTACAGAGTCATAGAGCGTTGTGACCCGGGTGTTTTCAACGGTGAATCTGTTGCGGAGAAAAATTTTTGAATAAATATTATGGTCAGTACATTCAAATCAACCAAGAAACATAACGGTTTGTAGATGAAAATACAAGTGTATAGAGTGGGAAAAATAGGATGTCAGAATGTAACATTAAACTTCGAAAGAAATAGGAATTCGCTAAGGAACTAGCATCGAATGTTTATGTCATGAAAAAGAGTCATTCATCAATTTTTCGAACGAGCAAGTAGTTGAGTAAATATTGCTGACATCATTTTCAATTAAAATTCTGATTGTTTCATTACAAGAGTCAAAATCATTTCGTTACGATGATACCCTTTCACATCCAGGCTTCATAATATAGGGTATTCCAACAGCAACTTCCGAACTTTCACAATTGATAACGGCCACCTTTTTGGAGCTGAATCTGTATAAATGACTTGTCATTTAATCAGTCTGTTTTGCCAAATCAACATGGACCGACATAGCATTCAACAACACGTACAGACAATGAAACTGTTTTATCAAAATGGGTGTTCTGTTTGGACAACGTACCGCGCGCCTCATCCATTTTATGGTGGTCATAATCGTCCTACCGAGAGGAATATTCGCAATGTGGTGGATAAATTTGAGTCAACTGGTTCCGTAAACGTTCGACCAACACCCGTACGTCGACGAAACGCAAAATCCGACGAAAATATCGCTGCTGTGTCTGTGATAGTGTGCAGGAGAATTCGAAGCAGTCGATTTCGCGTCGCTTATTCTTATGAGCTCTTATGAGCTCATTCTTACTCGACCTTTCGCAGACCACAACGACGAATTTTGCGTCGTGACTTGGGTTTGCACCCGTACAAAATTCAACTGATTCAAGAACTGGAGCTGAACGACCATAGACTATGACATGTGTTCGCTTAATAGGCTCTGGAGCAGTTGGCAACTGACCCTAATTTTCATCGAAAAGTCATCTTCAGCGATGAGACACATTTCTGGATGAATGGGTACCTGAACAAACAAAACGGTCGAATTTGGGACGATACCAATCCACATGAGATCCAAGAGCGTTCAATGCATTCTAAAAAGTCACTGTTTGCTGTAGATTTTTGGCTGGAAGCGTCATCGGTCTATATTTCTTTGAGAACGATGTTGGCCAGGTCGTACTGTCAACGACGAGCACTATAGGTCAATAATTACCAACTAATTTTGGCCTGAATTGGATGATCATGCCACAGCTCATGCCACATTGAATATTCTGCACGAGCGATTTGATGGCATGGTCATCTCATCTGGAGGGGATGTGAACTGGCTGCTGAGATCGTGCGATTTTTTGTGGGGTTTTGTTAAGTCGCAAATGTATGTGAATAAGCTACAAACCACAGTGGTCAAAGCCAACATAACTTATGCCATCGGTCAAATTCAATCTGATTTATTTATCAAAGTCATGGAAAATTGGAATTTTCAGATGCGTCCACCCAGAGAAGTCGTGGCAAACATATGAACGATGTTATATTTCACACATAATGAAATTAATAGTTCTTTCAAACGAATAAAAAATTTCGATGATACCTCAAACACACACTTTGTTTCATTTCAATTTAAAGATAGGAATCGCCTAATAAAAAACTCGGTACAAGTAGAATTTTACTCTACAACGAAGAATGACTGGTTGGTTGATGCCGTGAAAATCGTTGTAGTTCTGGTGTGTGGGAAAAGTATTGGATGACATTCAATTGGAATTGAAATGTTAACGGTCATATCAAAAAGCAAACCATAGACACGTGTTTCTCGTTAGTTATCGTTTATCAGTATGGTGTAGTCAAGTGTGAGAATGGGCAACACTTCGTTGCCCATTATCGCTCGCGAAAGGCGGTTTGTTACACAGTCAAGCTGCGACATCGACTGCACCTTGCACTATAAGACAACTGGATGAAATCAGAACGCTACCCGCCAACCCGTCATGGATCTCATCAGTGGTGCTAAGCTCATTCACAAATGCATTGCTGAAATTGCTGTCCTTCAGGGAGATATATGATGGAATTGGCCGATACTTGATGAAAATCCATAACTAACGTATTCAAAAAACACTTTATTGAGCGTGTCTTAGTCAAGATACGCCCGAAGAAGACATTGTATGGCGAAACACTTGTTGCGTTTTTGTAAAATCTTTTAGTGAAAATCTCACAATAAAGTGTTTTTTGAATACGTTTTTTAAGAAGAACATCTCAAACGAATACACCATTTATGGTAACGTCAGAAAATTCAATCCCCGAATATAAAAGATAAATGAGGCTCCTCAAGACGGTCCATTGCAATGCTACTAAGCTTTGACATCAACTGTAAAACGAGATTCGTGTTCACTGCGGCGTCCACTACAAAGAAACTAGTTGAACCACAACTCAAAAACAAAACATTTTTTGAAACCTGAGTTGGCTCGTATTTTAAATATTCCAGTGTGTGGGTAAACAATATTGTAACGAATCTGAAGCCGGCCCTGACCGATATCTCAGCCAGCAAACACATGGCTCACCGCGAACCGCCGCGAAAAGTGTAGATGAGTACCGAAACCACTAGAGGTATCTAGAACGATCGTTACCGATATAAAAGGTCGGGTCAGAGAGGGAGTCTGTATTCAGAAAGCGCATCGTGCGTTTAAATAAAGAATTCAAACAGTGAAGATAAATTAAGCGTTAGTTGCTAAGTGTTAAATATAAATTAGTTGTGATAGTGAAATATTGTTAAAAATGAATTTGTTCAAGACAGTTAATTCTTTAATTCGTTACAATATATACAGAGGTATTCTTGATTGATGACGCATGTCTAACGGTTTATTTTCCAAATTTGACCCACTCTAGAAACTCATCGATATCCAATGCTTATCTTTATATTGGGCCGAAAATGTTCAGTAAATCAGGGAAATCGGAAAGGAATGCGTTTAAACAAATTGAAAAATGTTCTAATTGAAAAAAATTGATACGCCCTCGAAGAGTTTAATTTATTCATTTAATTTATGATTAATGTGCATCAGTGTGGATGTCAAACAATTCTGTTTTCAATATATATTCAATTTCTTGCATTGTGTGGATATGTTTCTATATGTTTATGATATATTGATGTCTATTTTCACGTTTTCTTTGTTAGTGAACATTGTATTTTCTATTATTATGTTCTTTTCAACAGGTGACTGGGTCAACGGCATTGACTACTTTGGTCTTTGGCCTCGTGTTCTGGGTAGGCAATGTAAATAACTCCCCGAGCCACCTAGGGAGCATCATTACTATTCGCAGTCCGTCAGTCATTAAACGTTGAATGGAAGTATCATTGTCATCATCATCTACAGTTCATTCCAAATCTGAATGTATCGAACTGTAAGTTCACTATTTTTCAATAATATCTTACAAATATATTTGAAATTTCAAAACTGTTACAAAAATCAACTTAGAAATGATTATCTGAATGCTCCTCTGAAAATTCAGCAATCGATTTTTTCCATTCAACAAAAGCATTTCATGATACACATTCTTCTATAATTCTGAAATGTAGCAACCGGAAAATAAACTACCATCAAAGAGTATTTCTATCGCTTCGAGGATTACAGAGAAGAAAATAAGCGGTTATCCCACACGACCAGTATTTCAAATGGTAATTGCCACTTATTTCCACATCACCCCTTGACAATTGATCGCCTAAAAACAAATATAAGAAAAACGGAACGCGAAAACGGTCAGATGAAAAGAATCAAATTCATTGCGGCTATTACAGGTCTAGAAAGCGAACTTCAGAATGTGCAGAACTATGCTGTCATTTTGAACAGCTGTATACGATGGAGTATTATTCTAAATAGACTCTTAGTACTTATGATGCACTGTTTGGAACCTTTCGTGGAGTAATGAATAATACTGGAGTTTTTTCCCAACACCAAATCGTAGTTTTTGACACCTCGACACGTGTTTCGATCACCAAGTGATCATCTTCAAAGAGGAAGAAAAGTAATATTCATATAGACTCTTAGTATTGAATCATTGAAAACAAATTTTCCTCAAACTAGAAGGCGGAAAAATGAACTGAATGAAATTTTTGAAAATACGTGTACCTTTTAAATATCGTTTGTGAAAAATTAATTGCTATTAATTAAATCAAATCCACTCCCTAATTCGTCGAATAATGTACCCGGATGTCACACAGGTAGCTAAAGCTACCTCGTGGTGACTTCAGTGATATTTCTAACCCGAGATGACGTGACGGAAACCGTACTGATGGCAGCTAGAGCTGTACTGTACTGATGACAGCTGAGCTAGAAACACGTATCTGCAGTTTACATTTATTTTTTGACTGCTTTGAATATATGTACTTGCGAGGAGAGAACTGAAACAACAAATACAGCTACAACAAATACAACAAAGCAAGAACCGGCTCAAAACAACTACATGCTACTCACTAGACTATGTCCGTTAAGAGGACACCTGAACAAGAGGGGACACTGCAACGGAGACCTTAGCTGCAAGCAATGCAACAAAGAAACTGAAACAGCTCATCAAATTCAATGCGACTACACGGAACTGGATCATACAAGACAAACAATTTATGTACAACCCAAATTATGTCCCCAAGAGTCCAGCAGGGGACTTCTCCAAACTAGCACAGGAAACAAATTTGATGGAATGGATGCCATGAAAAAGATATGGGGGAACACAATGAACCATGAGTTTGCGGTGTTTCTGGAGACTATAGGGCTCGCAGGTAGAAACAATATGTTTCTACTACAACTGAAATGTCAGTTGCTTCAAATCTTATATCAAAGTAAGTGGAGATGTAAGATGGAATGGCCTACAGAGATGATAATTTCAAACCCGCAGAATGAGTGAGAGTCTCTCAAAGTTTGGTCGGAGCAAACGGGTATATTACCCGTATATACGGATATATTACCATGTGGTCCCAGAAGTACCCAGCCTGACCTAGAGAAGGCGGTAATTGTTTGAAAAAAATTGAAAGAACCCAATCTACAAAGCATATGAGGGTGTCGACTCCTTCACAACGGGATCTGAAAACACTTGCACCAGAACCGGAAGGTGTTTTTGATCCATATGTGAACCTACAACTATCTGCTCTTAATATTTCCTTCTCCCGGAGGATGCAGTCCTCTCTCCTCGGAAACAGTACTTTATAAGGCAGTTCGTAGTTGACAGTTGGAGGCATAAAGTCAGAGGTCATTTTCAGAATGCTGTGACTTCCAGGTCAACGAACAGTCTATTGCACTCTGCATTAAATTGATTTATGCAATTGGCAATGTGCACAAGTCTATTTGCAGTCCATCTAGCCTCTCTCCAGAAAAATGTGGAGAGGCGGTAGATCTAGAAGCATCTCTATGGCCGCTGATGGTGTGATACTGATGGCACCACTGATGACCAGACATACCAGTTCAACTAATTTCATCTAATTTTTCTATCAAAGTAGTGATACGTCATCATTTGCCGATGACTTGATATGAGACACATTAATTAAGTTCAATATTTTTTCAAATATTTGGATCATAAAGAAATGTATACACGAACATCCAATAACAAACGTCATAAGAAGACGATCATATATAGATACATAATTTCTATGATCATCTTATTACGACCTTAATTGTTTAGAACTATGTATTTTGATTCATCTGCAGATATCTCAGGCATATGATCGATTTATTGCAAAAACAATGTTTATCTAGTAGTTGATAGGTATTTTCGGGACCATATAAAAAAATATACCCACTGTTAGCCTTCAAGGACCCCATCTTTATCATTAAGTCTTTTATACTGGATCAGTTGTAACAATTATAATTATTCTGAAGTTATTCGTCATGTAATATTGGGTGAATGACCAAAAACAGTTTTCAAATAATTCAATAATAGTCAATGAATGCTTCAAATGAATTTTTATGACACATTGAACTATTTTTCAAGGCATCAATCACTTATATACTATTCTCACCTTTCTTCACTACTCTCGCTCTCCCTAGTCGACGTTCCTGTATCGCTGCCTATACTACTCTCAACTTTTTTCAACTCCTGCGGCTTCAACCGCCCCTCTATCTCAGCGAATTTCTTCTGGTTCTCCGGCCTCTCTATCAGAGTTTGCAACTGATTCTTCAGAAGTGTAGCAGTCTCTAAACTATCGCACCTATAGGCATGGACGTGCAGGGGACATTTCGTGACGGGATTGAATAACAGCAAAATGCAAGCTATGACGTCTTCGTGTTGGTACACGCAGGTGATGGTATTGTGAGGGATGAAGTGTTTTATCGTTTCATTTTTCGGTTTCGAGTTTTTCGGGTTTTGCGATACGATATTTTGGATGATTTTTAGACCCTTGTGTGAAACTTGGAGGGTAACTTTGAATGGTTCCACGTCTTTTTCGCGTTCTTCTAGATGTTTGATAACGGGAAGAATGTATTCTGTGCCTCGCAGTCCTTTCGATTCCTTCGCTCCCAAGAACCATACGTAGTAGCTTGATTTTTTAATATCTTTTCGTAGTTTTAGGGCCATTTCATATTATTTTTCATTCATTGTTCAGGTCACTCTAGTCAACAAGACTTATGGCACTGTTTTTGTACTATTTTTCAGATCTTTCATTAACTTCGTTATCTACTTCTATTGCTTCACTGAATTCTACCACTCATTTGGAGAAGCCTGTAACAAAAATTGTTAATTAAATCTCTATTAATCAATAGGTGGACTAATTCGACAAATTTTTCGTACAGTTTGATTTAATGCAAAATTGTATGCAATTGATAGACATTAGAAGACAAATATGTTAAAGCTGCTTTACATTTGGCTAATGAAAATAAATATACTTGCATCCAATATTTGCATTGCAATATTGTGAACCAAAGAGTCGTTTTATATTACAGTAATAGATGTTCCTTATGTCGTATATTACCAATACAATAAAATGTTGAAGAGGTATGTTGAGAGGTATGTATTTGTTATATGTTAATGGATAATGTTGATATTTGATTTGAATTGTAAGCGTTTTTTTTTATTTCACGTATATTCAAATGCCAAATGATGAAGACTTGTGTGCAATTCTGCTATTAAATTGCAGATTATATCCAATAAAGTCAGAGCATGTTCTATTTGCTTGTGATAGCCTGAAAACAAAATGCGTAAAACGGCCTTTAGCGAGTTATACCCACTGTTTCCCTGGAGAAGGTTCTGACCCTCATGAGGTGGAATCATCATAATCCTTTTTGAAGTGATAACTTCTTTTGGGAGGGTAAACCGATTCGTTACCTAACGCGTAACGTCGCCAGTCTGTCTGGTTTCCCTTTCTCCCATGCATACCTCATCGAAAAGCAGGCCCCTCCTAGAGAGGAGGACGACGAGAGCGTCGGACAGACGATCAGTGTTTAGTGTTCGTTAGATATGTACTTTTGACAGTATTATAAAAATATAACCAGCAAGTACGTAATATTCTTCTATTATGTGGAACGTGGCTTAAAAATGATGCCCACTTTGGATCTAACCTATTCATCATCAGAAAAAACAATTAAACGTTGATTTGCTGACTTCAAACATGATGGTAGATACTAATTTTGTGTATGTACATTACTAGTATCATTATTTAATCCTACAAAAGTAACAATTGGCTTATGGTGTCTATAATATATGAACATACACAAAATAATCAATAAAAGACATTATTAATAAATAACNAATCAATATAAGACATTATTAATAAATAACCTTTCCTAACATTATCATATTGATATACTGAGCTTTTCGCAAGTTAAACAATTTTAATATTAGATTAGTTTGTCGGGCATCCCGAGACGCACACGTTTTTTATATTGAAACGAAAAACTACTCAGCAACCGTAGATATGTATGATTGCACTTTTATATAACAAACACACTTTGAAAAAGTTCACTAGACCATGATTTCTTCAGGCGTGTCAAATAATGAACATTTCATTCACATGTTTACTATCAGACATGCGTAAAGAAGCTATTGTACAGTGAACACGTGTTGTGTGTTTTTAAACCAATATGTAAAAATCTCTTAATCCTACGGTATGTTCTTACTAATCTTGGAGCCATCAGGTTTTTGCCACAAAAGGCAATATTTTCAGTTAATAAAAGAGAATATTGTTCTTCGACTAAGTTTACAATTTGATTATTGTATTGTGGAAATATAAATTACTGTTAGAATCAGAATTCATGATGAATACGTGTACAGTGCGTTTCGAGATAACTCATCTGATTTACTAATGGTTCAGAAGATTTAGAGAATTAAAAGTTTGTATAATTCTGCTAAAAATACACGAAAAAAAAACTGTTAATGAAAGAATTCATCATAATCAGTTTTCAAAATGTATTTTAGTATCACATTCCTTCATAAATGAATGATACCTAGTAAAAGTTTAAGTAGGATATAAGCACTTGTCATACACTGTTTGGAACCTTTGGTGTAGTAATGAATTTACTGGTGTTTTATCCCAACGCCAGAGCATTTTAACACTTCGATTAAACTAAATAAATACTGAACTAAATAAACTAAATATAAGATTAAACTAAATATACATACAATATTGTCCTTATTTATGTCATAGATACCTTTGTTAGGTACCTACGCCTTAATTGTCTTAAATTAATTTTAAAATGTTGCCTTATCTACTACTCTTGAATCAATTTTACAATGTGGCCTTATCTAATAGTCAGGTAAATCTAATAATTGAAATATCATTTCAACAAGCTATATAGTATTAGCTATACTATAAGGTATTGGTCCACCATCATTTTTCATAATATTATTATGTTTACTTATTTCTACACTCTCGTAGGCATTTAGATGCATGTTGTTATTTTGTCTAAGTAATCTTAATGAACTAAAGTCTATGGAATTCCAGACTTTTCCAAATTTTCGACTTTGTCCTTTGGATTTCCTAAAAGGCTCCGTATTGTATGACCTTTTTTGAATACCAACTTCATACCTAGTTCCTTGAAAATATTTCCAAAGTTCTTCGTGATTGGTATTATGAAACTGATATATATTCATCTTGGTTTTCGTTGTTTCTAAAAGTCGAGATTTCGTTCATTTTTAACCTAAACTTTTTTTCCCTATAATGTCATCTACAATACCCCTCGAGAAACCGTTACTGACTGCTATTTCCTGTATTGTCTGTTATTCTTTTGTGAACTTCTCATGTGTGAGAAGAAAAGTCAAAAGACGGTGCACTAGAAAATTCAGCCCAGCGCATTTGTGCTCTCCAGAGTGATGTGAACTGTCAGGAATATACCTGAAAGTGCTTGTTTCCTTCCTAAATACATCATATTCTAGCTTTCCACATTGGCTTCTCATTATCAAAACCTTAAGAAATGGAAGTAGTCCTACATTTTCCAACTCATACGTGAAATTCATTGAGGAAGATCTGTTATTTATAAAGGAAATAAAGTCCTCAATATTCGATTTTTTGTTATCGAATATCACAAAAACATCATCCACATAATACTTCAGCCATAAATAACAGTTTGGTGTTGTGATATTCAGAATATAAGCAATTGTTATGCATTGCAACACATTTATTTCCGCCACTAGTAGCGTTGGTTGAGTATGTGATTTTTTTATCACTAGAAATTCGATGTTTTTATTGTGCATGTACCCGTTTTTTTATTCACATTGGATTTGAATCGCTGGGGAGTTCTTAAACAGTAAAGTTCGAGGTGTATTTAATTGAACCTCAAAACGATGAGCAGCCACAGTTCGTCGGTTATTTCTGATATGTACCGCTCTTGGTGGAACTTGAACACTTCTCGTGAAAGTATCTATAGAAGAAAGACAATTCTCCAACCTTTCTCCGATGCTCCAGGCTATCAAGGTTGCACGTGATATTCGCGTCCCCAATCGGGCGGATGGCTCTTTTATAGATAGAATCCAGCAACTTCAGGGTATGTTTGGGGGCAGAGCTCCATACGTGAGGACAATACTCCAAATAAGGTCTGATCTGAGCTTTATAAAGTATCAAACGTTATCTAAAGGAACAATATACGTTAAGCATCAAACTTTGCTAAGATATGTACAGTTTTCTAGTTCTGAACAATGTTCTAAGCTTTTGAGAAGCAGTCTTTGTAATTCCGGCGACATGATTGTGCCAAGACATATTGATTTCCATTTTAACCCCCAACAAACTTATCGAAGCAGAAAGTGGAATTGTCTGACCTGACATTATTATATCCGATTCGGAGACATTTATCTTCTTGGAGAAAACCGATGCCTCGATGCCCCAATTCGAAATCACTTCTAGATCCTCATCAATCTATGCAACCTCCTGCTGCCGGTGAAGATGTGCGTCCGTAGCCGATGTCCTGGAATCCAAATGGAATGACGAGACAAATGTGCTGTTGACAGCAAAGCAATATATTGGAGTCTTGGTTTTTTCCAATAAGTCGTTGATATACAATAAAAAGAGGGTTGGATACAATATGGATCCCTGGGGAACACCAGTGTTGATGATGAAAGTATTCGAGATATATCCATCGACGGTCACTTGCAGGGAACGTTCTTTCAGGAAGCTGAAGAGCCATACACTGAAAGCTGTTTATTCCATGTATGGTCATAGAAATATTCACTTACGTACATTAAAAATTATTATTCCATAAAATGTTTGTGAAAAATTCCACAATATCTGAAATTATGCTTGTAGAGAGATAGTTGATTGAAAATTACACCTTTATTTCTTATTGGTTGAAACAAACTAGATGGCCTTTTCAATTATTTTAAAAGTATGAACTCATTTGAATGGCGGAGCTAATTACATCCCGTTTATTCAACTCTCATAAAAGATTGTCATATCGCGTCAATCTGTTTTTTGTTGTCCATTCGACCTCGGCAACTGAATCCTTTCATTTCATTCATGTCTACCGTCATTAAAGTACATCAGAAAAATACTTGGCATCATCACTCATTAAGCAATTCGAATCGAATTCGAATGACATTCCAGCAATGTAATTACAGGTAATGTAATCTATTTTACATAATTTAGATTTTCAAAGAGTTCATCAGCTCTGCACTGGTCAAGATATTTCTTGCTCCTATCCTAACATCAGATTTATGCAAATTATTTTATATAGGAACGGAGAGAGTATATTGACCGTAAGTACAGCGGCTCGATTATCTAGAATCAATGGGCAATTTTAAATTGTACATTGTTTTAGGCGTCATTTTCAGTTTTGATGTACGAGAGGAAGTTTATTGTCTTCTTCAATGAAAGCAGAATCTCTACATAAATTTAGTCAAATTAAAGTGTGTGTGATGAAAATAGTATTTTGAGGAGAGATTATCGTTTATGTGATGGGATTAGCTCATACCTGATGAAAATCCATAACCTGTTCAAGTAAAACTTCATTATGACATTATCACTGAACAGTTTACGAAACAGTAACACGTGTTTCACTAGACAGTAGCTCCATCAGGTGTGTTCATAGTAACAAAATTCAACTAATCAATACCTTATATCAATTAACAATTTTAATGATGTGGCTTACTATCTACTTCATGACTTATAATTTTACACGAGTTCAGGTATGAACATATTACAGATTCAAACATAAAAAAGCACTTTCAAAAACAAACTCATTCAAAAGGACAATTCTTGAATCTATTAATTCCTGAGCATTCCAAAAGATTGAGTT